TGCAATTTTTGTTATATAAAACATTACAAAATAAAAGTGTTATTGCCTTATATTTTATAGCACTTCACAAATTTCAAAGTATTTTCCTGTATTATTAACACTTTGTTTAGTGCCTTACTATGCATAGTAAGTCAACGACATCTGATGAAATAAATCCTGAAATTAGATCCATAACATTTCATTATAACTTCTTATATATTGTTTAGAAGTCGGGAGATTCTATGAAGCTTGTCAAAACTACCGAGGTTGAACTCTGAGGGGAATTCAGTAATAACTTGTATATTAAAAAAGATAACTGATAGAAAAGAACTTCCTCAACTTGATAAAGAACATCCACAAAAAATTTACAGCTAACAACATACTTAATGGTGAGAACTATAAGTTTTCCTGCTAAGATCAGAAACAAGGCAAGAATGTACCCTCTCACCACTCCTTTATAACACTGTACTGAAAGTGCTAGCTAATGAAATAGGACAAGAAAAGGGAACAAAAGGTACACAGATTGGGAAGAAAGAAATAAAACTCTGTTCAGAGATGATATGATCATATATGTAGAAATAACAAAAGAATCACTAGACAAACTCCTAGAACTAATAAGTGATTACAGCAAAGTTGAAGGATGTAAGTTTAATGTATTAATACAAATATCAATCACTTTCCTATATGCCAGCAATGAGCAGGTGGAATTTGAAATTAAAAAGATAATACCATTTACATTAGCATCCCCACAAATGAAATACTTAGGTATAAATCTAACAGAATATGTACAAGATCCATATTAGCCAAACAACAAAACTCTGATGAAAGAAATCAAAGAATTAACTAAATGGAGAGATATCCCATGATCATGGATAGAAAGAATCAATATCATTGAGATGTCAGTTCTTCCCAACTTGATCTACACAATCAATGCAATGCCAATAAAAATTTCATTAAGTTATTTTTGTACATATCAACGAACTTGCTCTAAAGTTTACATGGAGAGGCAAAAGGCCCAGAATAGCCAACACAATATTAAAGGAGAAGAACAAAGTTGGAAGGCTGGAAGTACCCAAGTTCAAGACATACTATAAAGCTACACATCCCAAATGCTGCTGCAAGCGTACAGGCCTGCCTCCCCTACCACCACCATGGCAGGTACCTGCACTTGTCAATTTGAGGGCTTGGGGATCAAACTGCTTCACTCACTACTACTAATGCCTAAGCACACCTTCTGGGGGCCTCAAACAACTCAACAGCAAAAAAACCCAAATAATTCCATTAAAAAGTGGGCAAAGGATCTCAATAAACATTTCTCAAAAGAAGACATATAAATGGCCAACGGGCATATCAAAAAATGCTCGACATCATTAATCATCAGGGAAATGCAAATTAAAAACATAATATCATCTCACCCCAGCTAGAATGGCTATTACCAAAAGACAAAAAATAGCAAATGCTGGTGAGGATGCAAACAAAAGGGAACTCTCATACACTGTTGGTAGAAATGTAAACTAGTATAGCAATTATGGAAAATAGTATGGAGATTTCTCAAAAAACCAAAAATAGAACTTCCATATGATCCAGCAATTCCACTACTGGGTATTTAGCCAAAGGAAAAGAAATCAGTATATCAAAGAGATACCTGAACCCCCATGTTTACTGCAGCACTTGACAATTCACAATAGTCAAGATATTGAATCAGCCTAAGTGTCCATCAACAGATGAATGGATAAAGACAATATGGTATACATACACAATGGATTACTATCTAGCCCTAAAAAAGAATGAGATCCTGTCATTTGCAGCAACATGGATGGAATTAGAAGTCATTATGTTAAATGAAATAAGCCAGGTACAGAAAGACAAATGTCAACATATTCTCACTTATATGTGGGAGCTAAAAAAAAAAACGTTGATCCCATGGAGG